GGTGGGTTGGTTATATAATAGAGCCCCTCAAGTGTGCAACTAATAGGTATATGGTGTCAAACCGGCCCATCAATTTTTCCAAAAGGACACCATTGCTCGCAACAGCTTCAAGAAGTACATTGGTTTCATTGTGTTTAATTTCTGGCAGCTACCTGGACTCTTTGCAACTTCAAGACATCGTTCGCTTGCCAAGTGCTGTGGGTTTTGTTTTGCCACAGGGAGGTCTAGGGTGGTCTTGATTTGTCTTTCCCAGCGTTCGCTGGCCGGAGGTCTTTTTAGTATTGTCGCTGCTGCTGCTACTGGGCATTACTACCCATGACCTGGCACTTCTTAGTGTTGCCAAGCGAGAGAAACTTGGATTGACTGATGCAGGTGGTTTTCGGGACGCTGTTTAGCCAGCAGCAGGGGGGGCTTGGTGGGAGCGCCACATTGTTCGCTGGATGCTGAGGGAAATCATGGATTTCCGAAGCCTGCGCTGGCAGTTTCCTATCCTGCGGCGGTCCTTTGCCACTTGAACGTATTGTGGAGCTTTGTGGGTGTGGTGTCAGATTGTCAATAGCATTGATGTTTGGATTCAACGAATGGCCGGCCCAGAGACCTGGCTGGTGGAGGTGCTTGTATGCACTGTAGACCCATAGTAATTTAATGAGGGGTCAAAGAGCAAAAAAAGACTATCATTGCTACAAGCATTGCGTTTAGTTCTTGTTCTCTCGAAGAGGACGATTGGACAAGATGGGTGTTCCGATTTCAACCTTTCACAGATCTTAGATCGAAGGCGCTGACGTCATTTTCTGGCAATGCACTACTGACCATTGTGCAGAAAGAAGTACCTAGGTGACCTAAGAAGTAGCCCCTAGTAGCGTCCTTGCCCCTAGTAGCGATGCCCTTTGCTCCTAGTAGCGTCCTTTCTACCTATGTTTGTAAACATCACGCCGTTTTTGTCAGTCGCTGCTGACCGGCCTTGGTGTTTGCAAACGCATCCTGCGGCGGCGTGGCCTGGGGCGTGGGGCAGTGCTGCTGTCGCGCCTGGGTGGGGAACCGAGAAAGAGAGAGCTGTGGTGAAGGGACGGGTGGCGATGTTGGGATTGCTCAGGCTAATTCTAACTTAATTCTAATTCTAATAGCTTCTTGTTACTACTACTAAGGCACTTGTTACTAGAAGCGATGCACTTGTTCCTAGTAGCTTATTGCGTTTAGACATGTTTAGACCTTATCACTTTGTTTGGATTATCGTTGCCTAGAGCCGGCATCTATCGATCAAAAGCATGGGCACAGGCTTGACATCAATGCGATGATCTTGAGGCTTCATCATGACAGTGCGATGACACACCCGTTACACCCACACGCACGCACTCAGATACAGACAAGAGTAGATTGTTAAAATTTCATGCGATGTTTGTCAAGGCATATGGTCGCCATGCAGGGCGCCTCTTCAGTACTTTACGCCTTGGGCCGGAGAAGCCCTCGTCCTGCGTGATATTTCTGCATGGCTTAGGCGACACGGCGGAAGGTTGGCTACACGGTGCTCACTTCTTGGCCGCGTCGTTGCCACAGACGCGTTTCCTCTTGCCCACTGCACCCATCCAACCCGTTTCGTTGAATGGTGGAATGGCCATGCCGAGCTGGTATGACATTCGGGGTTTGGGGGAGAGAGCAGATGAGCCCTGCGATGGCATTGAGGAGAGCCGGAAGACCGTGGAGGGGCTCATACAAGAGCAGTTAGATGCCGGGATGACGTCGGAGAGAATCATCCTGGCCGGTTTCTCCCAGGGGGGGGCATTGTCATTGTACACTGGACTGTCATTGGATTGTCAAATTGCTGGAATTGTTTGTATGTCAGGCTACTTGCCATTCACGCGAAGCTTCCGCCCAACACGACAAGCCCTTCACACGCCTGTACTGCATTGTCATGGCTCTGCTGATCAGATGGTACGCTTAGCTTGGGCTGAGGCAGGGCTGGAGCATTTAAGACAACAGCAGGTCTCGGTGGATTGGCGACTGTATGACATGGGCCACAGCGCTTGTGAAGAGGAGCTCGAAGACGTGGGCGAGTGGATGGATGAACGCTTGAAGTGAGCTCTGGATGCCTCATCCAAAAAAAGTCCGCTGTGCTCCACTGCACCACCTAAGGTAATCAACATCAGTGCATGAACTCAAGACACGACTTCCATCTTTCCCATTTCCCCATCATGTTGAAGGTGTTGAAGGCGGGATGTCCAATTTTTTTTTCTTGCATTGGCAGGCATACCATTTCTGGTGGTTTGGAATCTCGGCTCCTTTGCCTGCATAGAGCCTCATGGTTTACCATGTTTTACGCCACACCTAACAAGACCAATCCAGTCGCGCTCGATAGGACTGGCCGTCTTCGTGCTGAGCCCTCTTTGCGTCGCACTGTTCTTGACGCACCCCATTCGCCTCTCAAGGGCTGCAGTCTTTGTACAAAGCATCGTTTGCGCCGTGTACAGTTCCTTGGCGTCGAACCTGAAACGTTGATCACGGTTTGCGCATCGCCAATGATCAAACGGATTCAAACGTGTTCTTTCTTCTTTTTTTTTTGTGTGTGTGTGTGTGTGTGTGTCGGAGCGTTGACAATTGCGGCTTGTCGCCCATGCCCACTCCGCGCCAAGGCTTGGCATTCTTGGTGCAGCTCATGGTGTGGACCGGTTCTTAGTCACGATCCCCATTTGCTTCGTTAAGTAAGTAAGGTGCAGGTTTGCATTTACCAAATCCATCCTCAGATGGAGATCAGGGGCAACTGTACGTAGGTTGGCAGACGTATTTGAGCCTTTTGGGACACTCCCTGGTAGTGCCAGATGAACTGCCAGATGAACGCACTGCCCAGGACATTTCATCGACACTGGCGGCCATGGTATGCACTCACCTGGCTGGTCCGTGGAACGGTCGTCTCGGATCACCGGGTCCCTGGCAAGGCGCGTCGCGTCTCGGATCCGCGTTGCGTCACCGGGCGAACGGTGAGAAACCGTTTGCGGTCCAGGTGGATTGCCTCTGCGGCTGTGAGTATTCGGTCAGCAACCATGCACTTTTCCAGTTGATCGTGTCAGATCCTCAGTTCACAGAGTTTGTTGAACTATATATATAGTGGAACTGGTTATATACCGTATATACAGTTCACGGGTTCTGTGTTCTGCAAAGGTGACAGTGCTTGTACTGATAGCACTGTTCTACACCCGGCAGGATTTCCATCACTGGATTGGTTAAGTCGCTTATGGTGGCATTTCGCTGCATTAAAGGCCCTCCATGCCATGACGTTGTTAATTTGTGCATTTTGATGGGTGTTTGGTGGTGCCTGACATGTCCATGCTATGAAGGATTGCGCCAATCGCAGTGGGCCAACCTCATCACTGTGTTATTTAGCGTCCGAGCCTTCGACCGGCAAGACATGGCAAGACAATGGAAAGAGAAAGAAGGAAGAAAGGACTAATTTTCAAGAAAGAAAGATAATTCCGACTAGTTTGTTCAATTTAAGATGTATCTCATACGTTAGATTGGGGAGACAGGAGGCCTTGACGTTTGAGGTGCCAATCAACGTGTATCCGGTCACCTGGTCCTCCTTAGATGCAGAGTTGCCGGAGACTTGCGATGCCGACACCGAGACCCAGGGGGGAAAGGGCCTTCGATCCTTTCGTCCCTTGGAATCGCACCGATCGCGATCATTTGCTATGCTGTTTGCGTCGCAGGCGGCACTTTGGGCCTTTTCATGTGTCTTTTTGAAAAGGTAAGTGGACGTGACCAATGTGCCAGATCAGATTGAGCAACACAGCGTGATCTCACTCGGTGCTAGTTCTAGCCCTTTCCTTAACAAAGGTGCTTATGGACGAGCAGGTCAATAGCAAGACTTTGCGCTTGCAGTTAGCAGCCTTGCAATGGCAGCCTGATTGAAGCAGAGGACTTGTGCCAGGGATCATTACGATTCATCATGATTGTGCAAGCGGTGCTAGCTGGCAGTAGAGACTTCGGAACAAAGAACGTACCCGATGTGGAGCATGCCGTCGGCAGTGCCGTTTGCCAACTGTTCCTGTACTGCATACATTTTGCGCCACATTTGCACCATTGCTTGAGGTGTGCTAGTCCGCGTGCATCTTTGCTGCAAGCAGATCAAAGGATCATTGTGGTTGAAGTTGAGGGGAAAATGAGCTCCTGCGCTTAGATTCAAGTTTTTGCTACTTGGCGACTCGCATCTCATTTTTTCTCCTTGGAGATGCGTCCTGTCTCTAGTCGTTGACGACTTGTGAGGCTGGAGATGTGACTCCCCGAGAAGCAGATGCCATCGGCTGCTGTGGCTTTCCATATGCACGCAAGCGTGTGTTGACCTGAGTTATTCGGAGAACACTATTAATGCCATGTGGTCTTTGATGTAGGCTTTGTGGTCAGGCCACATGAAGTCCCGCAACAACTTGTGTAGTCAAAGGACTCGAAGGACTGCCACTACGTTTGTGGAGTTGCTGAGGTGCCGGAGCTTGAGAAGACTCCTTCGACGCCAATGATCGATTGAAAAAGAGCACCCATCAGACTTCCACGAGCTATGCTTCGAAGTTGACTCGACGATTGTTGTTTTGCGGGGGAAGATGTGAGCATTGATTTAGTCTTTCGGCACACGCACGCACACAGATGTATTATTATTGCATATGCATTTGCCATCATTGAGGAATACAACATGAGAACACAGGGCAACACAAAGCCTGTTTCAGTTTCGTTGAAAGGCATCATGTTATTCTGCCAAGCTGGTGAAGCGCTTGGGCCAGCACAAACCTTGGCTTGCTGTGACTTGCTTGGGAGCGCATTCAACATGAGTGATCCTAAAGTTGTTGAAGACCGGGGTGTTGTGGGAGTTCACTGCCATCACTGCAGGTGGCTCAACCAGCCCTGACCACACAGCCATCAAATCCTTTCATGTTGACGGACGTGTGAACTTGTGAAACTTGTGAAGTGATGCGTTGCACAATGCAACATGATGCAACCCAACAAAAGCGGTCAAGCTCTTTGTTGATTGGTTGGTTGCCTCCTCGTTGAGCACAGAACATCTGGAGTCCAATTGTCTTTTGCAATGGCGCTGGTGCTGGTGCACGTCCAGAGTGCCGTTTCAGGGTCTTCTTTAGGTCAGTGCTACGCGGGCACACTTTCAGAACTCAAGTCTTGGGTTTCGCAGCAGTTGGAGGTTCCAGCCACCTGGCTTGCAAGCTTTGCATGCTTGGGAATCCATGATCTGCAAAAGAGCCCGCACGAAGAAATTAGAGGATGGCTGCGGGCACCTTCACTGAAAGGAGTCGTAGCCAGACTCACTGTTTTGACATGAGGTCAGGTCGAGTGAGCGGCACATTGTATGAAGCATGTATTCAAAAGCGGTGATAGCGAACACCAAGGTCTGTGAGCAGCGGTTCTTCTTGGATGGCGAGGTTATCTCAGACTCCGTCTTGGCCACATTGAGTCGCTTCGGACAGAAACTCTTCAGTCAGACGAAGGTCCAACGAACAACAGCAAAACGATGAAGGTTAGATGAGGGCCTTTTAAGGCTGCATATGGCAGTCCTTTGGAAGTGACATGGAGTTGATGCAAAGGCTAGCGGCTAGGGTGGCCAGGCATTTCGTAAGCCATGGTAAGCCTTACTGATGGATTGTGTTGCTGCAACGTGAGGCAGAGATCAGACTACTCTCGAGCTCCAGCTTTTATGCTTGGATCCGTCATGGGCTTCTGCGCTAGAAGCGGTATGTGAAGACGGCCATGCCCTGGAACACTTCCCGAAAGTTCAGAATGATAGGCCCGCAGAACTGTGCATCGCTTGGCAGCTTGAGGTCTCGCTCCTGACGTGATATCCGAACCTGTTACTAGCGATGGCCTCCAACCTACTAGGAATGGCGTTTTCCTTGCAGAAAGGTCCCTCCCTGGCTCAGGTGGCGGGAGAGGGGCTGTGTGTCGGAACTTTGCGGCCTAAGTAGCGGTGGCCTTCAACCTTCTTTTCTGCCAGGGAGATTGTCATGGCAGCAGTGAAGTCAAGGGGAACTGCTTTGAAGTCACATCCCCAGAGACAAAGCTAAGCACACCAAGCCGACTGGGTCGACTGTGAAGATGAACCGAGGTTTGCTGATCCTGCGCTGCGGCGGGACCGAGAAATTGCCCTCGCTGCTGTGGCTAAGGCGAGGAGGGCGGGGTGAAGAGATAGGCTCATCGCACGGCTGTTTGTTGTGAAGCACCATGAATGAACAGGTTAATCATGAAAAAGACAGCTGTTGAACTGTTTCGATGAAGTGCCGATGGACGCATGACGGTTTTGGACTGAGGATGGCCATGCTCTACGATATGCATCCGCTTTGCGAGCAGACCGTGAGGCCACACTCAGGACCAGAACCGTGTGACATGCATTTAGCTCGCTCTTCTACAGCCCCTGCCGTTCCATACTGTGTGGCAAGGCACAGCAGACTTGGGAAGTTCATGGATCTTTCAACACTTTGCTCGTGCTCCTTCACAGGTTGTATTGGCGGCTGCGTTGAACAGTGGCTCGTCGATTCAGCATGCCGCCCCGCACTTGCGGAAAGTCAGGGTCTCGAAATTGTTGTGACATTGTATCATTATATACAGTTATACAACATTTTCCAAGACTGGAATGGACAAGAACTTGGTTTAAACTCTGAACAGACAGGACATTGAAATTGGTGCTGTTGCTATGCTTGAAGATCAGCGTGCTCTGTCTTTTGTTCCACAGGACTGGCTTGATTGCAACGTAAGCAAAAGGTGGAAAATCTTGGCCATACAAACTAGCCCACATTTCAAGAACGATGCATTTGGGACTATATAACTCGATCAGGCCTACGCTTGCATTGCTGTATTTTTATGACGCTATCAGATGCTGATTGTGTATCCTCTTTGTGTATATAGACTCTATGCACTGAACCCCGATTCTTTCGATCAGATCACTAGCTCAAAGTTCACCCGTGAAGGTTTGAGTCACTCTCGAGCCATTGCAGCAATGCAGTCTTGAGGACCTGTGGGTTGACTGCTTGGAAGAGGCTCGAAGAGAATCCTCGAGACGAATGCAGAAGATGTGCTCTCTATCTCCAACGAATGGCCCGGACTTGAACTTTGTTCTGGTAGGTTGCCCAGACTGCCATGTTTTTTTGGTCCTTCTTGTTTGTTCAGGCTGCTTGCACACCCTAGCATCTCTAGAAGATTCTAGCAATTCTTCACTCCCGCAAGACCGCAACGTACAGGAAGAAACGCCGTGAAGGTCCATTGAAATGTTGACAATGGTTGTCGCATGATGTCGTGTCCATGCAGATGCATGTCACAACTAAAAACATGGGCTAGACAGTCTGGCCTGAGGCAAACTTTGTTAGATACCTTCCCTGCTGTCTTGGTGACTGGCTTAGCATCAGTCCAAGTTTGTGAATTTGGCCTCTATGATCTCTATGCATGTCCTGATTTTGCCACTTCATCGAACAGTGGCCGAGTCCAGTCGGAAGTCCACTCACCTTGAGGTGGTGCGGCAGGGTGCCTTGCTGGCCCCATCCTAGCGACAGGTGCTAGCATTACGAATCTTCCACCGCATGTGAGTTTTTCATGTCAAAAGCAGCCAGCGGCCAGCTTCATCAGCTTCCATGTTGTTGATTTTCGGTGTGGAGAGATGTGACATGGAGCGAAGCAGGCTTGTCCTTGCCTTCATGGGCTGTGTGCTTGGGAACAATGAGTGCAGGAATTTATGCGGGTGACGCTTGGGCGCATTGAGATAGGATAGTGAGGGAAGCGGTTTCGTGTCTTAGTCTCTTCCGCAGCTTTTGTTTCTGTCTCGATTTCTGAGGCAAATGTGGTGAATGCTTCTGAGCAAGAAACTTGTTGTCTGCAATTTTGTTGAATCGCTTCAGGCCTATCCTTATTGTGAGCCTCCCATAGCATTCGATGAACGCTTTAACATTTTTAGATCCCAGAGTGTAGCTGAGTCTAGTGCCTTGTGGGAAGTGGCAGCCCAGGATGTGTGGTCGTCACTGGCCAAGAATGATTCCACCTGACTGCAGTGGAAGGGAATAAGTTGGCAAATTCAACCAGAGTTGCCGTTTGGAAATGGTGCAACTGTCTTTTGAAGGGGTGAGCTTGCCTTTTGCTTGTGATCATCGAAGTTTTAGCAGGATGACGCAAGTGAATTGTAGTGACCTTTGTTGCCTGTTTCTTTGTTCCAGCTCATTTGACCCCCAGCTCCGGTGGGCAAAATCCACAGTCTTCCGCTGAGGGTTCTTTTTAAATTGCTCAACGAAGGTCCACGAGGAGAAAAGTGAAGGTCCACGAGAGTGTTTGAGAACATGTGATTGTTTCAGCAGAGAACCTTTCGCCCCAAGATATGGGAACATTGTTATGAGTCATGTTAAAATTTATCGCACACGTACCATTGACAGCCCAGCCAATATCAGCCACTAATGGCTACGATTGCAGTTCACTGTCCTTGATTTTAAGCTGCAGCTAGCAAGACCAAGTCGATTCAAGGGAGTTGCCTCCCTGCTGGCCTTGAATTGAGGCTGAATTCGCCCGCACATTGTGGAGGCACAAGGGTAGCACTGGGACAGAGAGAGGGTAGATTTGGTGGAGGGAGAGAGGGTGGCTCTGGGACTTTTGAAGCTGGCAAGGCCAAAGCGGAGTCAAGGTCCCAAGGATCTTGGGGCTTCTAGAGTTGATCTAGACCTAGAAGTGGATGCTGTGTCAACTGGCCACTAGTCCATCTCACGCCTTTCTCGATTCACATCATGATGCAGCCGTTCGGCTCTATGACTGCCGAGCGCATGCGAAGTTGGGACTTTTTGAAGAGTCCCAAGGCCGGCCGACGCAAGGGTTGTTGCTTTTGATCTTGTTTTCGTGTGAGAGAGCCTGGAGCGCTGCTGTGAAGCGTCTAAGAGAATCCTCCAAGATTGTCGAGTTTGCAGTCTCGCAAAAAAACTCACGCAACTTAAGCTTTCCCAAACATCTAGGAACCAAATGAATAGGGGGGGGGAGCTTCCTCGAAGAAGCTTGAGCTTTCCTGCGTCCCAGCTGCTAGTAAGCGATACTTACTAGTTACTCGTAGCTACTAGTAGCCTACATCCTCAGTCCTGGCCTCTCCCCCTCTTCAGCACAACACGGAAACACACATTACTGATCACTACTGTATAATTCTTCCAAGCTGAACTCCATGATATTGTGGCCACCCACCATTACACGCCCCAAGTGTTCATTTTGGAAGGTACCAAATGGCAACGATGAGGAATGCATCTCGACGGCAGGCTCAGGTTTGTTTGACTTGGGTCATGCTGGCCACCACCACTTGTCCTTGACACACGAACGGGGTGTCAGGCGTCAGGGAGGTTTTTTGCATATTTAGCCACTGCCAAGGCCAAGCGTGCGTGGCGACATCAGAATGCCTGAGGCCAGGGTAGTATTGATGCTTTCGGTTGATTTGGAAACAACTCAGAGACCAAGACATCCAAGTGTAATTCCGTCTTGTGCAGGAACTCTAGTGCAACCAAGAGATCTTCCGAGAACTCTTGGGCAGAGCAGAGGAGCACTAGATCAGCCACTCACTTCTGACATGCAATAATGGAGAACTATATATATATATATATTATACATTATATTATATTTATTTAACTGTATATATATATATATATGTTATATGTGGTATATTACTTTAGCATGATCTATGACAACCACCTTAAGCAACAAATGCAGGCGTGCATGTGACCTGTGCCAATCCTTCATGCATAAAGCAGCATCTTGAGAAGGGGAAGCGGGCGCAGACGGGCCAGGATTCAGACGCCCGAGGCAACGCCTCGCCGCAGTCTGTATTCTCGAGCGGTGGGATTGTACCGACACCTCAGGTGCGACGGAAGAGGGGTCCAAAGAGACTGGGCAACGGCATAAACCACGGCAGTATATGGCAGCCATGGATCTGGAGTGCTCGTAGTATGCGTCAATGTGAGATGTGCCACTTTTGGGGCCTGTGGAATCACTTGTGGAGGAAGGGCGATTCGGAGATCGTCATCCAGAAGTGTCACGGGTGTCCAATAGCTTCCCCTCCTCTGGGCAATTGTGTTCTTCACTCTCCCTCTCAGCTCTTGGTCTATATCGTGGTGATTCGTGATTCGCGATTCCTGATCACGTTTTGGAGTGAACAGCAGGGTGAAGTAGGTCACGCCCAGGGTTCCCACAAGCTGCCTATTTTCAATTCGGGCAGTTTCTACTGTGTTAGCATCTCGTCTCATTCTCTTTCTTCTTTTCTACACATTCTATTCCGCGAGTCTTCGGGTGTGATTGAATCTCACTCGTGTCTAGCGCAACAAGCACAAAAAAGCATCATAATCGAGGGCTTTGGGCATTTTGCTCGCCTTAGCCAAAGGCATCAAAAGGCTAATCTCCTGGAGAGGGCGATGGAGAGAGAGAGAGAGAGTCTGAGTTTTCTCGCCTCGGATTTGATAAGTTCGCTTCCGGATCGTTCGCTTTGTTCCCACGTGGTTGTTGCCGCGGTTCAAGGGATCCCTTCGGCCATTTGTGGCACTTTATGCCTGCGGACCGACCGCGGTCCGAACCTGCGACACTCGCCGTTGCCATAGGTGGAAAAGCCCGCCAAGTACGCATCGAGAAGTGTACCAAGTTTACTTCGCGCTCGAGTGCCACTGGCTACCTGACATTGGTAGCGGAGCCAGGCGGTCCTGCCTGGCTCGCTCGGTCTGCTGACCGGGCTGGAGATCAAGATCTTCGAGGCCGACCTCTCCGAGAACGGTGGCCTCGCCTACGACCACTCTCCAAGTACATCCTCGAGGACCACGACACGCTCTTCCTGGCGCTGCTGGCTGCTGCTTGGGGAGCTCTACATCCTGGTCATCGCCCACGACCTTTTTGAGAAGGACCTCGTGAGCTCAAAGGACTTCAAAGAGGTGGCAAGCTGGAATGGAGAACCAGCAGGTTGGAACGACTACGCCCGACAGGTTCGACTATGTTGGGAGAAGACGCCCAAGCACAAGCGCAAGCTCTTGGGGCCCGAGTTGGCCAGCAAGCTCACTGGGAGAGCATGGGCTGTGACTCCAAGCCTGGATCACAGCAAGCTTGGAAAGCGCAATGGCACCAAGTACCTCTTGAAGTACCTTCAAGAGCGCCTCTGTCGCACTGCGGTTCCGGACGCAGGAGCAAGGTTGGAGGATCTGTTGATCCGACTACGTCGGCCCTTGGGCACGGCTATGAGCCATTGGGCCAATGAGGTGCTCGAGGGCTACCGCAAGGTTCAGCGAGCTCTCATCCGAGCAAGACAACTTCAGAGATCCAAGGGCAAAGAGGACATGAAGAGTGTCTCGGAGCCGCGCCAAGAGCCTCCTACGTCGCCTACAAGGAGGACGCCTGCTTCGAGCCCTACACACCGGACAACGACGAGCCCAACACGCAGGACAGCTGGTTATGGAGCCGAACCTCAGGCACCCATCCAAGAGTCTGAGGATGAGCAAGGTGACTACGCTGCCGTTCACCAAATTCACCAACGAGATCCTCATGAGCCTGACGATGAAGATGACCATATTGGTCAGGGATGGGCTGATGAAGAATGGAGAGAATGGCGTAAGCAGCAACGCAAGGACTGGTACGACGATGACTCCAGTTCTGGTGAGGACCTTCCTTGGGGCGAGCTGCAAACAGAAGAGATTCAAGTCTTACCTGATGAGGCTGTTGCTCAGAAGGGCCAACCTGAGTGCTGCATCCCGTTGGTCGGTTCAGGCTTCGGTGAACAACTCCCTTATAAGTTCCAGGACATTGAGGCGGTGGCGCTTCGAGATCAAGAAGAAGAAGTTCTCCAAGCTGACCAATCTCGAGGTCAGCATCATGGAAAGCGCTGCACAGAGGAGGACGACGTGTTCTGGGCCTGGGAGATTGATGGATGGCATGGTTATTGCCAAGACGCCTACGGGTATTCGCTGGAAACAGATGGACATGGAGCTTTCTGGAGTGCAGATGAAGGCTATTCGGACTTGAACCCTGAGGAGGTCAAAGAGCTGGCTGGATGAAGCCTACATGACCTACGAGAACAAGGCTCGCGCCTTCATGCAGAGTCGACAGCTTCAACAAGGTGCAAGCCGAGGTTTCTACCCCTTGGGCATGATGAAAGGCAAGAAAGGAAAGTCCAAGGGCAAGTTCAAGAAGGGTAAGGGCAGTGGAAGCTATGGATCCTCGAGCTCTTCATCGTCGCAGCCAAAGCCACTATTTGCAACTCAAGGTCGTGAAGGAGGTTCGACGACTTCTTCGAGCGTGGGCTGCTTCATTTGTGGTGACAAGGGACACGGATTCCGCAACTGTCCCAAGAGGACATCTTCTTCAAGTCCTTCTTTTGGAAAAGGTTCAAAGAAAGGAACCTATTGGGTTGAAGCCTTGACTGGATCCCCCCTCGCCTTTGTGGGCATGGTCATGGACGAAAATGAGGTGAGCCACAACACCGACGGCTATGGTGTGCTCGACCTAGGAGCTACAGAGACTGTGGGCTCACTTGGGGCCTTGGAAGCTCTCATGGAGATCCGCAGTTCCGTCCATGGAATCCAAGAACCGGTGGAGGTGGACCTTCGTCGAAGAAACCTTTTCGCTTTGGCAATGGTGGAGTACAAGTCTCCTCAAGCTATGTCATGGTTCCCCAGCGCCTTGGAGATAGATTAGTGTCACTTGGCGTGTGCACGATCGACGCTGAGAAAGTGCCCATCTTGATCGGCATGAAGACTTTAGAGAAGATGGGAGCGCTGATTGATGTTTGTGGCCGTTGGTTGGTGCTCTCAGCCATCTCGCCTGAGGTGAAGATCCCTTTGGCTAAGAGTCGAGCAGGTCACTTGTTGGTGAGTCTCACCATGGATTGGCTCAATGTGAGTCAGCCTTTGACCAACGCTGGAAACCATCGAGCGTACATGGAGCCTTGCCGATCGTCGTGGTTGCAAACAACTTCATTCACCACCAGTTCAGTTCCTTCTGAGCATGTCCATTGCTGTGTGCATTCACCCACTTCGTCAGCTTCAGCTTTGTCGTGTGATGTTGTTGAAGGTGTTTGGATGATGGAAAATGAAGGTGATGAAGGTAGTCAAGGTGAAGAGTTGTATGGAGATGGAGTTTTCCTTTTGGATGATCACCATGCACATCGCCCGTTGCCCTCAGTGACTCAAGAGATGCGAGACGCCATCTGGCAACAGCTCATCAACCCATCGAGCGTTGCGCCCCCTCACTCTCCTTGCCATGGCGCCCAAGAAGGAGAAGACGGCGACCAAGAAGGCCATTCCGGCCGAGGAG